TTGACAGAGCTAGCCTCCAACTTCCAATCCTCCTGCCACAGCCTCCCATGTTGCTGGAATTACAGATGTGTGCCACCACACCCAGCTGCAATTTTTTAAAATAAAATCAATGCCAAAATTCTATGATGACTAAAATATCAAACATTCTAATAAAGTCAGAACATAAAAGAGCTGAGATTAGAGTGCAGCAAGTGAGGAAAGTCAGACCTGAGCAAGATCTAGTCTTGGTCCTGAGAGTTTTCTCAGTGGCAGGGACACTGCCTACGTCAGGCCCTGCCCCATTCAGCCACATTGGGATCTAGTCTGCTCATGAGGGGCCTTGACCTCTGCCTGCCTCCTCTGTAGAGACAGAAGCCCAAAACAAGGACCACACATCAAGAAGGTAATGCAGGGGCTGCAACCCAGGGCACTATAATATAGTTACGGTGACCTGGGTTCATGCCATCCCTTATATACTGTGGGACCCTGAGTCAGGTGCATCACCTTATTCCTGGTAAGGTGTAATGAACTGAGTCTAGCAGTGAAAGTCAGTCTTCCCACTAGTTGACCCACCCTGGGGAGTTAGAGGCCCTCTCCTGACCCCCAAGAAAATCACTGCTGCAGCTCTAGCCCCAGGCCCGGGCCCGAGGCCCAGAACCCACTTGACTGCTTACAAATGGTGTCCTGGCAACCTCTCAGCCTTCACCTTGGCAACACCACCCTCTTCACTCCCTCTCCTTTGATTGGGCTGGAAGGCAAGGTGGAGCTGGGATGTCTCCTGACCCCTAGACCTGCCTAGAACTGACTGGTCAGTTCTTAGGCCTCAATTTCTTTATCTGTGATCCCAGGGCTGGTAAAATCTAGTCCCCTAGGATTCAGTAAATAATGCCTGAAGTCCTCTAACACCTGGCAATTTAATGTGTGGTCTCCTAACCAGCAGCATCAGTATCCGCCTGGAGTTGATTAGAAATGCAGAATCTCAGCTGCATCCCAGACCTACTGAATAAGAATCTGCATTTTAACCAGAGCCCCAGGTGATTGGCACACACATTAAATCTGAGAAGCTGATCGATTCTTGGCACAAAAGAGATGCTCATTAAATTTTAGTGCTGCTCTCCTACCCACTGGGCTCTCAGTTAGATCTTGACTCCAGGCAAGAGGAAAAACTCAAGATGGAGAGATGAGCTCCTGAGATGGACACCTCATTAAATCTTAAATACTCAAGTTCTGAAGCCAGGGAACCTGACCAAGCTCTTTCTACATTTCTCCATGTAGATCCTCCATTTTGTTCATCTGTAAAATGGGAATAATAATAACAGGTAACTCATATAGTTGTTGTGAAGATAAACTAAGAAGATATTAGGAAAACACTCATCAGAATGCTTGGCATGTAGTAAGTGTTCAAAAAACGCTGTGGTTGCTGATGGTTGCACTGGTAGTTCAAGAAATTTGTGCCTGAGAACAGCCCATGTAATGAAACGGAATAGATAATATTTGTATATCTCTTTGCTATTTATAAATCAATTTAGTTAATAGCATTTCAACTGACTGTCATAACCCTTTGGGTAAGAAGGCGTGAAATATATCCATTTTACAGGAAAAAAAAAAATCTAGACTCAGGGATAAAGCAAATTGTCCAAGGTAACCAGAATTTACATTCCTGGAGTCTGACACTAAAATCCATGTTAGTAATAGAGCATCCAACCATGAAAAAGATCAACCATGGACCAGTTAGACTCTGGAGATGGTACTGTTCAACCTTCCTATTGTATAGAAGGGAAGCTGGGGCCGTGGAAAGGAAGAAACTTGTTCAAGGTTGCTCAGATAGAACATCAGTCTCAGATCAGAACCCAGCTCCCAAGGCTCCCAGCCTAGAGCCCTTCCCAGGATTCAGACCCACCTTTTTCACCTGACTGGACTGTTCTCTGGGCAGGTCTAGGGGTCAGGAGACATCCCAGCTCCACCTTGCCTTCCAGCCCAATCAAAGGAGAGGGAGTGAAGAGGGTGGTATTGCCAAGGTGAAGGCTGAGAGGTTGCCAGGACACCATCTGCAAGTAGTCAAGTGGGTTCTGGGCCTCGGGCCTGGGCCTGGGGCTAGAGTTGCAGCAGAGATTTTCTTGGGGGTCAGGAGAGGGCCTCTAACTCCCCAGGGTGGGTCAACTAGTGGGAAGACTGACTTTCACTGCTAGACCCAGTCCATGAGGCTGAGTCTCCTTCATCAACTCCTTACCTCATCAGGCACCAAGTCCTGCTTCCTTCTCCTCCTGTCTTTGCTACCCCGAGCCACTGCCTTAAGGTGTCTCCCTCTCTGTGGCCTGGTTAACATCCCAGGATCCCCACCTTCACACCCCGTTCTCATTCCCGTATCCCCTGTACTCCTCTCCAGAGGCACAAGGTGGTCTATCTCAGCTTCTGTCAGGACCTTCCTCCACAGGCCCTGACCACCTGCCAGTCTCATCTTTCACCCCCCAGGCTCCAGCCCGACTACCTTCCTCCCAGTTCTCTGAGTGGATCATGTCCTCTCCATGCCTTTGGGCCTGCTGTGCCTTCTGCCTGGAAAGCACCCCCACTGTCTGCTTGGCCTCCTCTATGCCTCAGCCCCAAGCCTGCCTTCTCAGAGGTGCCCTCCCTGCTGCTCTTGGCAGAGGGAAGCCCCTTTGGCAAATCTGCATTTGAGTGGGAGTCACACTGCATGTGACTCTGTTCTCCTGTTTGTGTCCCTGTTAGGCTGTGGACTCTTTACATCTTGCTCCTAGAATAAGACAGGAGACCTGGGTTACAATCATGCAAGATCAAGTCCTCATTGAGCCTCCTTGCCATCCTCTGTGAGATAGGAGCTATGACATTGGCCTTGCCAAGCTAATGAGAATGTTCGAAATAGTGATTGTGAGGAGCTGGGTTCATCATTGACACACTGAAAATGGACCCTCACCTGCACAGTGAGAATAACTGGCACATGAGGGGGTTCTATAGAATAAAGCCCTACTCAAGGATAATCATTCTGGAAGTTAACACTCGATTCCCCCAAGGCCCCAAATCCTCTCTGCCCATCTGTCATCCATTCAACAAAAGCTTACTAAGCACTTACTATGTGCCAGGCAATACCTTATATGTGCCAGCAATGTGCTAGCTGTTGTGGACTCAGCAGTTGGTTAACACTCAAAATGTTTTTCTTTTCCTTGCCATCTTAAAGGTCAGATGCTTGACCGTGCATAGAGGTGGCCCTGCCTAAGGACAGGGAAGCTGCCATTTTCTCTGAGCTGCTGGAGGCTTCATTCCCACATACACGCCCTCCTTAGCTCCCTGCCCCAGCCTATCACAAAACAACAACTCTGCCCAGTTTTCAATCCAGCTGTGAGTTTTTATTGTCAGCTCCTTGAGAACAGGAGCCATGTTGCTCTTTCTACTGCATGTGTCACCAGCATGTAGAAATGATCGGGCACACTCATTCACTTTCCACCTCATTCACTCATTCACTCAGCAGATACCTAGCAAGTCCTGCTAAGGCACGGGTGCTGGTGAGCAGCCAGTCCCTGCATCAGGGAACTAATTCTGACAGTGGGATTGAGGGGTTGTGGGGGAGGTGATAGTGCCATAGAGAAAGTTAGGCAAGTTCACTCAGTTGAGACCCAGGGGTCAGAATGCTGTTGTCCAAGGTGGTCCGGAAGGCTGCTGGTAACATAAGGGACTTAGAGCCAGGCATACTTGTTAGAACCCCTCCTTCACCCTTTACTAACCATGATCTGGAAGCTCTTCATTCTTCTGAACCTCAGTCCCAACTCCCATATATGATATTTGCCCCCATAGGACCACTGTGAGTAGTTACTGAAAAGAAGAGAAAATAGAGGAAGAAGGAACAGGTTATATGCAGGGGAGGTTGGCAAACACTGCAAGCCCCTTCAGTGGCCCAGACCTTAGGGCTTGACCAAGAGAGGCCCCCAACTGCAAAAGAGAACAGGGACTGGGGTGAAAAGAGTTAGGATTGTGGGTTCAGATCCCAGCTCCACACTTATCTCTGTGTAACCTTGACCAGACTATCTTACCCTGTCCACCCCTGTTATTCCCAATCTAAAAATGGAGATGAAACATTGACGTCACTACTCCTAATATGTGAAAGAAAACCCAGCAAACATGTCAAGTGATGGTTAATCAACAAACGCTTAATGGGGCCTATTTCTACCAAGCCTTGGGCAAGGTCTGCAAACAGTCATGAAGGACCTTCCTTACCTTCTAAGGAATATTTGGTGCCTCCTAGAACAAAGCAGAGGAAGGTAACTAAAATTTGAGGGGCTACAGTGTAATAGGCACCTTCTTCACAGGCATGATCATATTTAACAATAAGAACCAGAACTTATACAGTACTTAATGTAGGAAGGTGGTACTATTAGAAGCCCCATTTTGCTGGGTAGGATGGTACTCATGTGTTATCCTAGCAACCCCAGAGGCCGATGCAGAAAGTCAGAAGCTAGTCCAGGCAATTTAGCAAGACCCTGTCTCAAAATTAGAAGAGAAAAAGGTTTGGAATGTGGTAGAGTGCCCCTGGGTTCAATCCCTAGTACCACACACCCGTACACATAAAAAGAAAAAAAAAGAGAGAGAGAGAAAGAGTGACAGAGAAGCAGCAGTCCCATTTTACAGATGAGGAAACTGGGTTTAGAGAGCTATGACAGATGTCCCCAGAGCCAGAAATGAATGACAATGAAGCCTATCCACTGACATTGGTCAGAAATCATGTCATAAAACAATGTGTTTATGTCATAAAACATTGTAGCCAGCATATAATCCAAGTATTGCCTCAACCAATGGGTCAGGTAGGCAGCTGCTATCAGGTGAGTGAAGTGGATCAGCAGTTGGGGCTGATGCCTGACACATTCCCATCCTGCCCAGTCATTTGATACAACTAACAGAAGCAGTAGTGGGCTTCAGAGACACTTCATTTGCTCCTGGGGTTCCATGTGCATTCAGGAAGTTGCCTACCCCATGAGCTCTCTCTTCACCTTCAAAATTCTCTCTTCCTCTAGGAAGTTGGGCATCTCTGACATGCTCTCTGCTCTGCTCACTGACTGAAGGTTCTTGCATCCCAGCTTAGCCAGGAAGCAAAGGTAAGGGATCACACCTATGGGTGGTATTCAGAAAGCACTGCTGCACCCACCCCCCAGCCTTGGGGGTTCTGATAAAGAGGGTCATGATGTCATCCCCCTCTGAGTCCACCAAGAACACTCCCTAAGTTGGAATGAGATGGATCAACTAGGCAATATGGCAGAATGGTGTTAGATTGCATCTGAAGAGTCGTTTATAACAGAGAAGCGCTTTCTCATGAATTGTCTTATTCTGAGCTGTCCTCCACCCCCCAAAATGAGGTGGATATTATTATCCCCAGTTACAGATGAGGAGATTGAAACTCAGAGGGAGAAACAACTTGCCCAAATGTATATAGATGGTAAGGCTGAATATTGACCTATTTTTTCTTGTCCTGTGTACTTTGTAGGTTCTTGGTATCTGTTTGATGAATGAATGAGTTAATTGATGAATTGCCAAAGATGAATAGCAGGGCAAGTCTGAGCTAAAACTTGTCTTACCTGTCATCACCAGGTCCTATGCTCTTTCTGCTGAATCACCTCTTTTTGCTCTAATGAGCTCAACACCCCCACCTCTACTCCTACCCCATCCAAGGATCTCAAGCATCTTGGGTATGGTGTCCATTAGCCCCTTCCGCTGTGGACAGAAGGACAAAGGTGGAGTAGTCAACCTTAGCTCCTCTTCTGGGTGGCTGGCCAAGCTGAGATCATATCTAGCATCCCTCCATCCACATCATCTCTTCCCCACCACCCACTACCAGTAATCCAATGTGCCTAGTTGTAAACTTGTTTCTTTAAATAAACAGTCTTGAGTTTCATACCAAATAGTCTTTTAAGAGGAGGAACGACTCCAGGCCACCTCATATTTAGCATACAGTGAGCAACATATTTGCACAGAGAGAGTGTGTGTGGATATAGAGATCGCTCGATCGCTATAGATATCATTGCTCATCCAGATGGGAGCTATTTATGATGCTGAGTCATTTGCAGAGAATGCCACTGAGGGATTCCAGGCTGGGCTCGGAGCCCCAGCCTCACAGACCTCACGGCTCTCTGCCTTGTCATTACTTTTCACAAATGGAAAGAGGGAGAGAGAGAGAGAGAGTGGCCCCCCATCACGGTGCAGGACAGAAGAGGATATTTTGGCTGCAAGAAATAGAGACTTTCTCATAACCAGTTCAAGTCATTGTCCTTCATTCCGAGCTCCCCAGCATTACAGGTGAACTAATCCAATCCCTTCATTGCTGTAGGAGAGAGAACTGAAACCCAGAGGGAAGAGACTTGTGCAGTGTCACACAACGTGTCAGCGACAGAGCTGATAGTAGACCTCGAAGCTGATTGTTGGTCTGGGGATTTTTCCACTCCCTCAGCCACCTTCTTCAATTTTATCTCCAATGTCTTGGCACTTCATTCCTTTGAGGAGTTTCCTGTCCTCTGCAAACTTGGAGATGTCACTGAGCGCTTCCTTCCTTAGGCTTCTTCAGAACAGGAGCTAGGTCCTGCTGGTTTGGGGTAACCCCCATGTTTAGTGCAGGGCCTGTATACACTGGGTGCTCAATGCATGAGTACTGAGCATTATATAAAACCAAACTCAGAATCAATTCCTGGGGATCCCTAGTTCTTCATTCGAAAAAGAACCCATTTATCTCCACCCTCTTTCTTGTCTCTAAGCCAGTTCTCTATCCATGCAAAAATAGACTCCCTCCCACTTACCACCCACCTCTGCCCAATTCTATAATGAATCAATTTTATTAATAGGCTTTGGGATAGAAGCTTGACAAAGGCTTTTTGTGAAAGTCACCCTTTATCTCCCTATATAGTTCACTTCTCAAAGGATTCTAATAAACCAGTCAGGTGGGATTCGGCCTTACGTAAAATATTAATTAATCCACTCTTTCCCTCCATACACAATGTGTTTGTTTAAGTATTTAGTGATCTCTACCCTTTATGATAGTTTCTATTCAATGTTCTACGAGACACTGAGATGTGATGCAAATGAGTACAGGCTTTGAAATTGGGTTAAAGTCTGGGTGGTCACTAATTGCACAGAGACCTGTGCAATCTAATTTTCACAGAATTACATGAAATAACCTTTGTAAGGTGTCTGGCACACAGTAAGTGCTTAGTGCAAGTTTTGTTTATTTGTTTAAATGAATAAACCCAGACCCATATGAACCAGATTCTAAAAGGAAAGAGGACAACTGACTCTATGATCTGAGGAGTTAGGGTCGTACAACACCAAGAGGGTGGATTGGGAAGTCTCAGGTAGCAGATCTGAGAGATCAGGCTGGTTTGGCTGTTTGTAGTCTAGAAAAGGAGATTTTTTTCTTGTGCAGGGGCTTCCCACAGCTGAAGGAAAAGTTTGAGTCTGGAATCTAAGTTCAAAATGAAAACATTCCTTGAGAGCCATAAGTGTGTTTTGTTAATGGCTAGATTCTACCTGTCTCCAAACTAGAGCCTGAATAAGGGTGTTGGGAAGAAGCAGAGGAGCACAGTATGTGTGCATTGAGCTGAGCTGACTGGCTTGCTTTGACCTGGTAGAGTTTATCTAATGGATCTGACTCAAATTGACTTGAGTATTTTTGCATTTAGGGAATGAACCCAACTCTCAGACTTACCAAGAAAGAAACTTTCTGGAACTTGGGCTTAGCTAAGACCCAATACTATAGTCAAAGGATATCCCAAGGGTCTCATTGAAAACATTTGGGGAATCTTCCAAAGACAGAAGCATCTCAAAGAGGATCAAGATATAGCTAGAACTCAGGGGAAAGGATAGCAGCCTTGACATGGTCAGGGACACCCCATGCAAAATATCCTTTAGGAAACTTAAAAACATACAGAAATTCTGCCAGGATGTTTCCAGATTTTTAAGGCAAAAGGATCCTCTCTTCCTTAGTGCATACCCCAGTGGGAGGTTAGGGAGTCAAATAGTCTCAATGATGAGAAGGAAAGTCAGGCTGAGGCCAGGAGCTAGGCAGAGTTTCCTATTGCAGATGCTGGGACAGTTGTGAATTGGTCCTTTTGGAATGAGGATTCAGGAGTCTGAACAAGGTATGATTTAACACCAAATTTATATCAGGCATTTTGGGCTGAAGGCAGGAGTGACCTAGGAACTCCAGCAGGGAATCAGGGAAGACCTTGGTGTCACATGTGAAAGGGAGGGGAGACTGCATCACTGGGGCCCCTTCACCAGCCCTATCACTGCCCATCACAGAATGCAACCAGGGACCTGGGACAGAAAGGAACAGAGCCAATAAATTAATTTCAGGTGAGCAGGGAGGTTTTTAATGCTGTACTTGGCCATGTCTGTGTTTGTCTCACACATTGATCTTGAGACCACCAAATAAAACATATTCTTTTCCTCTCAGTCTCCCCTTTGTGCCCTCTAAAAACCTGGGTACTGTTTGGACATCAGTGTTTGATGAATGAATAATTAGGTCAGAGTGAAGCTTAAAAAATCCAGTGGAATATTTCAAGATGGCAAGATGGAAAAATTCAAGATAGCAAGATGGCCAAGATTCAAAACTAGAGATGCCCAGCCAAGAAAGACAGCATAGAACCAGAAGTTGCCCCTCAGGAGTTTGGCTCACAGGGAAAACTGAACTAAATGGTGCCAAGGGACTGGGTAGTGGAGTTTGGTTTTAAAATAATGTTCCTCAGAGTCCCAAGCTTCTAAGAAATGTTCTCAAGAACCATTAAGAAGGTGGATTGGGGGGTTGGGGGAAAGGTCCCAAAGAAGCAGCACTGGATTCCTGAGCCCCACTTCAATCACAAAAGCTCTGCTTTTATTTGTTTTATATATTGGATTTCCACACACAATTTTATCTTTAAATGATTCTTTGGATTTAAAAATAGCATTTGGAATAGCATTTCAACCAGTGTTGAAAGAGCCTAAGCATTTAGAAGTAGACTGTCTGGATTCAAATCTCAGCCCCATCCCTTTCTACCAGTGGAACTTCAGACATCTACATTCAGCGTCTACTTTCTCATTCCTAAGCAATCCTCCCAGGGATGTGTGAGCATTAGCTAAGATGCCACAGTATTTCCCAGAGGCTGGCACATATGTGATTAATGTTGTATAAGATGATTTTAGGAGGTGGTATACAGATGAACATTTATTATTTAATAGCTCACAATTGATGCATGTTAGAAATACATCAAACTCTGATTTATGGAAATAATATAGCTTTTCCTTTGAAAATAAAATCATGCATTTAAAAAAAAGGAAATCAATTTGAAGAGAAATTCTAAATCAGTGAATAGGACCCACTGAGCAAAAATCATAAAGGTGGTACATTAATGATTGCAGCTGATTGCAGTTTGGGGAAAATTCAGATAACTTGTGTAAACCACCATAGACTATGACTGCCACTCAGGCAGGTCTCAAAATGTAAGTTCTCTAATATTTGGGCATGGTGGCACTCACCTATAATTCCAGCAGCTCAGGAGGCTGAGGCAGGAAAAGCAAAGCCAGCCTAAGCAACTTAGCGAGGCCCTAAGCAACTTAGAGAGACCCTATCTCAAAATAAAATATAAAAAAGGGGTGGGTAATGGCTCAGTGGTTAAGCCCCACTGGGTTAAATCCCCGTACCCCCTCGACCCCCACAAAAAAAGGTAATCCTTTTATCCTTCTCTTCACTTTAACTTCCTTAGAAATCTGGGCCTAGAACCAGACTCATTTAGTGGGGCAAAGCAGATGTCCTGCCCTGGTTGGCCTAAAACACAGAATGAAGTAGGCATGGGGCAGGGAGCAGGGGGCCAAGTTCAGGAAGGAAGTAGGGGTCAAATCTGGTCAAGTAGCTAGCCAAATCTCTTAGAGCAGGCAGAGGCCACCAAAGCAACAGTTTTCACAATGGAGGTACAAACCATCAGTGGTCATGGGACAGTTTTAAGAGTTATTCAGGTACTAGTTAAAACTACTAGGAGAGGGGCTGGGTGCAACAGCACACACTTGTAATCCCAACAGCTTGGGAGGCTAAGACAGGAGGATTGTGAGTTCAAAGCCAGCTTCAGCAACTTATTGA